CCCCCCCCCCTTCCCCCGCGCTAACAAGCCACTGACAACTCTGGGCGGGCGCCGCACAGTGCGCACACTTCAGTAGCCCTAAATACACCCCATGTTTGGCGATTGCAACCAGATGGACGACATGAGGGTTGTAACATGCATTGCCTGATAAGATCTCCCCGCAGCTGGGCAAAGCGGCAGGCCCAGTGGCCCCGTGCTAATCCACTGGAGTGAAAGGTCACCTTTAAGCGCTTCCAGGCTGCTGTCAACCAAATCAGCTTATCTGTTGTGTCAGCTATATCATCAGGACATGTGCATCATTCCTGCTGATGTTTTGACCTCATCAGTCTGGGTAATTTTTGGAAACAACGACAAAGCTAGCAAGCTGGCCAAAAAAAATAAGGTCTTTAGCATGCATAGGGTAATGATGGTATCTTACCTCACATATACACGGCATGTTGAGTTGTTAATCCTCTTGTCACTAGCTTTCCTTCTTCTATCTTCAAATAAGTCTTTGATGGCAGTCACTCCAAGCACAAACATCACAGGAATCATAGCAATTTCTTTCCCAAAAGCATTAATGTCAGGAAACCAGTTAAGTAAAATGATGAATATAAAGTACAAGTTTGCTACACGGTGGAACTGCTCCAACAAATTCTTTGGAAGAAAAGACAACACAGTATATTTAGTAGTCCTTATTCTGTTGTTCACTGTCTTTCCATTCGGATGAAGTTTGGCTGGGGTCTTTGGGGGAACCAAATGGTTTGGTACAATAGTTCTATATGAAGGGCGGTCAAAGTCACCTTTATCAGAGCGCCGTAAAATAAAATTGAGCATTCTTCTCTGTAAGGGAACACCCACATTATTGCGGAGGGTGTATATTGACTCTGATCTAGAGGCTTGCCTGGAATGACCACGGCCAGTTTTAGGAGCACTGGTGCCAGCAGCACGACTTCCAGCATCATTGGCTTCAGTGTCTCTGTGTCCAGGAGGAAGAATAAAGTCTGTTCTTGATCCAACACGGCTGTGACCCCGCTGGAATCCAGCAGACTCACTGGTGCCTTCTATTTGCCCCTGAGAAAATGCTCGCTGGTGCCCCCGACTTGACTTGAGTGCAGATGGTCTGCTAACGAGTCCTGTGGATCCAGAACTCGTCATCCCAGAGGCAGCAACACCTCCATGGCTGGCACTTCGCATGTGTCCCCTTCCAGCTCTCCCAACGCTGCCTGCTGAGAGAGGTGCTGAGCCACTGCTTCTTGGAGCAGAGCCCACTTCTGCAGACACTCCAGAAACGCTGGGAACTGATACCCCCACATTGGCCTCTTCTCCGGGACATGGTGGAAGGGTGAAGTCTTCTACTTCCGCTTTTGGTGCAAACTCTCCACTTTCTGATTTTGACATCATTGACCATCTGGAACAAGCAAAGAACAGGTTTGCTTTGACTAACGTATCTCAATTCCTAATGTAGATTTCAACTAAAATTTACCCATCCCTTCTGGTTTTGAAAGTAAAAATTATCTGACACACTTAAGAAGCAGGTCTGAGTGATAAGTGATAAAGGCACACTCTACACACAGAGCCGAAAGGAAAATATTCAGAGTTCAAAATGAATCGACAGCTTCGTCTTAACCAGCTTCGTTCATTATCGTCTGCGTCGAAACAAAAGCCAACGGCAGCAGCAGCATTCATCAGGTATCCGACTAACCTATCTTAGATAACCACTTGACAGCTGACCTGATGTCTCATAACTGTACAGTGCTCTCCTAGATTGAGCTGACCACGTCTTGAAGTTTAGCCCGTACCATAACAACAGAAACTACTCGAACTTTGAACTCTTTGTGTACAATCTGTCAAAGATCATCCCCCTGGTTGGGAGTTGTTGTGTCAAACTCACCATTCCTTGTTTAGTTGTGAATGAAAGCGTCTGTTTCCATTAGGTTTCGTAGAGTTCAATTGACAAAGTTTCGTACCCAGTTCGTTTCTCCGGTCTGTATATAAACTACGCGATACTAAAAACTCGTCCACCCTGCCGCCGAGCGCGCCCAACCAAAGACACGTCTTGCACTTAGGCCTACAAACAACACAACTGACTGAACTGAGTTGTGACGTTTGCATGGCCCTCCACGAATCCAAGTCTAGTTGACCTGTCTGCCGCCAGGGTGGGCTAGATGGTCTATGCAGTCTATGCAACCACAAAAAATATTCGTGGTGCACGGAAATCGTAAATTTACTAACGTATCGTGTCTTATTTTACCTGAATGTAGTATTGCTATACTAAATTATATTTGAAGGATTGATGTCGTTCAGAGGGAATTCAAATACGAAGGATACTGTTGGCGATTGCGTTCCGGAAGGTTGCCCACTTTTAAAAGCAGCAGGTCGTATTGCAGCGGGACGCAAGGTTTGTTTTGATTCACTGATTCATTGAGTTTTTGATTTGAACGTCTCAAATCCTTCAAAGTTGACTGTCCTCAAAGCAGAAAAATGAACGCGAAAGATACTGTCTCTGACATAAGCGCCACAGTAAGACTCGTAAGTAAGCTGTTTCATTTTTGTAAAATAATAGGTTAGGAAGTGCTTCTCAGATACTACTGTCATATTTTCCTTAACTTAAATTTTCATGTCTTCTGTGCGGTTCTTTTGGTTCTTAATTTGAATTAATCAAGCTTGGAGGTGCTTCTTAGATACTTTCATATTTTCTATGATTTCAATTTGGTTGTCTTCTGTCGGGTGCATTTGGTTCTTATTTTTAATTGCTTAAGGAATAATTTCCTAGTGTGTGTATGTTTTCTGAACAAGTTGCTGATCAAAGTCCACATATTCTGTATCATATATTTTCTATTCTCTTGTGTTTGCTCCTAGATTTCAGTAGAAATTTGCAGTGTGTTCTATTATGTGGTTCTTACCTCAACTGTTTAGGAAGCCATCAAGCACATTCTTAAACAACAGTTCAAGGACCAAAGGACTAGAATCGGTGACGATACAGTGAGGTTGGTGGGGGAAGTTGTGCAACTACTAATTGTGGAGGCTGCAGCTAGGTCATGCAACCAAGCTCTGCTCGCAGGTCTGTCAGTTGTCGAAATGGAACATGTTGAACGAGTTCTGCCCAAATTGGCAAGTTGACTTTTTTCTTTCTGTTTTTCAAGAAAATTTTGATATGTTATTTCATCGGAAGCTTGCATATTAGTATTTCCATGAACATGCTATTGTAGGCTTTCATGAATGATTGAATTTTATGTTTCATTCCATTTATTTTCATCTTCTCTTTTCCAGCTCCTGGACTTTTGAATGTAAGATTTGCTCTGGAAAAATTGAGGTGTTCATGTGTCACTTGTGTATCATGCTGCAATAGCATTTTGACCTCATGGAAAGAAAGTGTTAGAGGTTTAAGGTGATAGGTAAATAAAAAAATTGGAACTAAAAAAAAATCACTGCTCATTATTTAATTTATCAGGGTAACAATGTAAGCGAGATTAAAGAAAAGAGAAAGAAGAAAGAAAACAAGAACATAAAATGGAGAAATTTTGATTCAAGGCATGTAAAAATAATACTTCAGATAACACAAAACGTTTGGAAATATGAACATAATTACCATATAAGTACACTTTATAGCATTTAAATCCAACAACGTAATTTACAAAATTATAACATAAAGCTTGCAAAGGTTTAAATTTCGCTTACAATGTCATTTCAATGTACAGCATTTGCACAGGATATTTTCTTTAAATACAGTCACATCCTTAGCAGATTTCCTAAAATTTAGTTTTTCATTGTTGGTAATAATTACAGTAATGAAATATAATTGTTGCTTTTATGTACACAAATATTTTCTCTAAAAAGAACTTTAAAAATACATAAACTAATGCTTGCCCTCTCTATCTACAGAGTAAATTGGCTGCTTGAACAAAACATCTACAAAATCATGTCACCTAAAATAATGAAAGATATCAATAAAAGATCAATTCATCAGTTTCACGTCATTAGCGTTTTCCTCATATTTCACCAAAGAATGATGTGACCTTTCTGAAAAGTGCCTCTCTTATCTCTTTTTTCATCAGCAGTATATCCTACTTGGAATGTGTGCACATGGCTAGTTATAAAAGAAGCAGAGAGAACAAATAGTATAAAGCAAAACTGCTATTCAAGATGACATGAACAGCAGGAACTGGAACTAGCAGAAATACTGTATGAAAGAATAATTGAGACCAATCAGATAACAGTACAGGTTTGCAAAAGAAATACCACTAGAACTGAAAAAAGAAAGAGGAGAGACTTAACTTTCCATAATGTAATGAAAGAAAATCGGTAAACATGCACAAAAGAATTAGAATTAACACTATACAAAATTTGGTATCCAATTCCAAAAATGTAATGCTTTCAGCAAATCAGCTGCTACAGCACAAATAACTAAGTTAATTTCTTTGTTCTCCAGAAACTAATGCCAAGATAAAATATCTTTTGTCTTTTGTACATTTTTAAAAGTCGATTTTTAAAAACCAGTAGCACCTTTAAATTCTGACACAAATATACCATTTGTAGACTCATTTCCCCATGTACATTCAAATTTCCAGTTCTTTGTTTACGAAGAAACGATTTCATTGCACCAACATGGGGTTACTGGTCAATTGTTCCCACTGCCCACCTCAATGCACAACACCAAGCTAGCAGTCTGCCCGTAACTCACAGTAACATCTAACATTAATAATCACATGCTAGAGGTTTGAAAACAGAACTAAGTTCAAACTCAACCTTGAGATGAACCTTACAGAAATTGCAATAAAAACATTTACAGCACAATATATATCCTATCTAGTCATATAGGCTAATAGTGAATGAAACCCACAGCTTGGAATAAAGCAAGTTTGAATTCGAACAACCACATACCTCTATCACAAACATATCCTGAATGCTAAAATAAGATAACATTTTCAGGATGAAAAATGTCATAAGCTTCTTCCAACAAGGAAGTCCTACTACATTTTCAGTGTTATACAGTCTTGTAAAAACTTACGTTAAAACAACATAAACGTGACATTGGATGAATCAATGTTGGAAAGACTAGGACAGAAAAATATTCAACTTAGCACAAGAAATGGTACATGGGCACTTTCCAGTGCTTGTTGCAGCCTAAACTATAACCTCATAGGACTCATTCATTTCGACTTGATGAGGACTCGCCCCAGGACTCACTTGGGAGCAAAGGGATTGATGACTGTAGCTGCAACAGCCGCAGCTTGTTGGCTCGCAAGCACTGCCGCTGCTGTAAAAGCAACAAATACTACCATTAATGCTTTGTCCATCCATACCAAAGCCTGGCTGGCCTACACATCCTATGGCTTCATGCTTTGTGAGAAAGTCCTCGGGGGAAAGTCCGACAGAGATGACAGTTTTATAGAATGATTAAATTGCTACCCAAAAGGACCCATGTTCATTTCAATGATTAAGTGTTGAAGCACAATTGAGACTTTATTTTCACTTCATTTTACAATGCATTCACGTCACAGTCATAGTTATTGCCCTGCATGTAAACAATGTCCTAATGCATTTGAATTCTCTGAAACATGATCAATTTTAGATAAGTTCTCAGAGCTAAGTATAGTTCATCTCCAAAAGATAAAATTTTAGGGGGGCATGATTAAGTTAGAGTTGAACACATAAGAAGTGTTTCAAACAATATCACCAAGGAGAGCCAGTCAAAAGTTACTGTTTTCCTCCTTTACAAGACAGTTTGAAAATCTGATAAAGTGACAAAATGACGGAGACTTTGCAATTCATGTAGATCATGTAGAATTATGAGAGACACTAGTGCAAAACTACAGCAATAGGAAGAAGATTAAACTGGGAATTATACCAGAGTACAAAAGTCATATAATACTGTCATGCTAAAGCCCTACGAACTTGATAATTGATACAAAGTTTTGGATACAAGTTATTACTGTAGGTAAATTTTTTTACCAGAAGCCCAAAATTAACTGTTATGAGTCTATGAATTGTTCTATGGAACAGCTTGGCTCACTTCAGAAACAAATGGAAAAGGAAAAAGATAATACTTGACAAGCAGAATCAAACAGATCACTTTAGATATTAACTCTCCTCCCTTCCCTATTTAAGCCAACACTGTAATGCCCCTACAGATATCACAGTCTTGTTTTTTTATACTACATGGTGTCTTACTATCTAGTTTACCTCAGACATACATAACAAATAATTATTTTCTAACAAAATGCGGTTGTGTTTAATGGTGGGGAAGGAAAGACACAGGTAATTTCATTAATTTTTTTTTAAAAAAAAGCTCACATGCAACATTAGTAACAGCACCATACAACTATATTTTTGGGAACCAAATGTTCCATTTGTAGGAGCTTTTGCAGTGCGGTACCAATTAAGGCACATACGGCAGTGCTAAATTTGTCACAGGTAGCAATGCTAACAACAAAATTGTTTCAAAATCAAAAGCTTTTTCAGTCTGTGAGCAATGCAAACCCGGTTCACCTGAGATAAAACGAACACCCGACAGCAGTCTGAATGCTATCTTTGGCCTCAACAAATTAGAAAGCCAACATATCAAATCACATGGCAGTACACAAAGATTAAAAATTAAAATTAAAACAAGCTCTAGTCTCTCGTCACACTCGAGCCAGGTCCACTGCATCACACGACACGGCTACACCTGCTCGGGATGTCCTCCTCAGGGCTGCACCATGGGCTTACCTCCATAGGTCGCCGGGTACTGGCCAGCCAGGATAGGGTAGCCGAGGCCAACGTGGTGGGTATGGTGGTGGGTGTGCACATGTCGCTGCGGAGGCGGTGATCTAGAGTCTTTGCCCTCGGCAGGCGACGGCTTGCCCTGCGGGGGTCCGGCTAGCCCCCCCGTGCCCGGCGCCGTCGAGGTGGGTGGGCCCAGGGGGTTGCTGGCGGGAACTGACTGGGGGGAGGGGCCGCCGTGCTGCGCGCCGTGCGCGCCACCCAGGGGCCCGCCGTGAGGTCCACCATGGGGTCCGCCCGGGGGTCCGCCAGGAGGCCCGCCGTGGGGCCCACCGTGAGGTCCACCGTGAGGCCCGCTGTGGGGGCCGCCGTGAGGCTGGTGGCCGCTGGAGGGCGACGCGCTTGACGAGACAGCCTTCGGGGTCGGCGACTTAAGCGCCCGCTCCTGCAGCTCGTGGATCTTGTGGGAGGAGTAGTACTGGCTGGCGTGGTGCTGCAGCAGGTCCAGCGCCTTGGGGCCCGCCCCCATCGCCGCGCCGGGGTGCGGCCGCGACAGGTCCTCCGGGGCGAGGTACCGGGGCATGTTGCCGAGGCCCGGGCTGAGGCCGGGGCTCATGGCGGGGTGCAGGTACTGGGGCACCAGCATGGGGTTCATGCTGCGGTACACGGGGTGGTTGGGGTCGAAGGGCAGCGCCCCATAGTGGGGGCCCTGCATGTAGCTGGGGTGGATGTAGGCGTACGACGAGGTCGGTGGCGGTGGCGGCCCCTGCGTCTCCATGGTCGGCTTGACGCCCTCCTGCTTCTTCTCCTCGGGCTTCTTCTCGTCGGCGCTCTCCCGGCCCTTGGCGTCCTTGTGCTTGGGGCTGGGGCTGGGCGTGGACAGTCCGGTCTTTGAGGCCGGCGGCGGGGTGCCCTTCAGGGGTGGGTGTTCTTGCCGATGGTCCTGCCGGTGGTCCTGCCGGTGATCCTGCCGGTGGTCCATTCGATGGTCCTGCCGGTGGTCTTGCCGGTGGTCTTGCCGGTGGTCCATTCGATGGTCCTGCCGGTGCTCCATTCGGTGGTGGTCCGGCCGGTGCACGTCGGGCCTCATGTGGTCCTGGCGGTGGTCTGGCCGCAGGTCGCGCGGGTCGCCCCGCGGGTCCCCGGGACCCTGGCCCGGCCCAGACCCCGCAGCCAGCGAGGGGTTGGGGCCCCCGAGTGGGTTGCCAGGGGGAGGCGGGCCTTGGGGTGAAGGGCCCTGGGGCCCATCCTTGCGGCCGAACATGTTGTTGTAGTACCGCCTCATGTCCTCCGCCGAGGCGCCCTGACCCGCCCCCGGGGGTTGACCCGGAGGCGGGGCCTGCCCTAAAGGGCCCTGCTGCTGCTGAGGTGTGCCCGGCTGGCCCTGGTTCATCGGCCCACCCGGGCCCTGCTGTCCTGGCCCCTGCTGGCCCTGCGGCCCGCCAATCTGTCCAGGCTGAAGTCCCGGAAGTCCCGGACCCCCCGGACGGCCGTAGAGGAACCCCGTCATCTGAGTCTTCATCTCTATGCTCTCCTTGAGGATCTGATGGTTGTCGTTGGAGTGACTGTCCTTCTTGCCGGGCTCCACCTTGATCTTGTTGAGGTTGGGCACGTTGATGGGGCTGGCCATGGGGGCCTTGTGGTCCGGGCCGCTCTGCAGCGCCGGGCTGGGGCTGTTCTTGCCGTCCTTCGCCTTCTCGTCGACTGGCATGACGGACATGGCGTAGCCAGGCTCCAGGCCGTAGGGGTAGCCGGGAGGCATGCCGTAGCCGTAGTAGGGGAAGTGTTGTGGCAGGACCTTGTCCTTGTCGCCCAGCGCCTTCATGTCGCCAACCTTATCCAGTCCGTCCTTGGGGCCGCCAGGCAGCTTGCCGTCGGCGGACACGGCGGGAACCAGGTAGGGTGGTTGTCCGTAGAACGGGAAGAAGTGCGGGGCCAACGGGTGTCCTGGGGGACCGGGCTCTGGCTTCTTGTCGGCGGCCTTTGTCTTGTCCGCCTCCCCGTCCACGGTGGGCGCTGCGTCGTCGGAGATGTCCGAGTACGCGGGGCTCTGCACCCCCTCGCGACCAGAGTCACCCACGCCGAAGGGCTGCTCCATGGAGTTGGGCGCGCTGGGGTTGGGGTGGGGGCTTCCGGCGGGGGACTTGCGCACCTTCTTCTTGTTATTTGGCGTCTTGCTGTTGGGGTTGTTGTTGTTGGCAGTGATGAGGGCGTTGCCGACAGCGTTGGGCCCCACACCACCGGGCATGACAGAGGGCATGGTGGGAGACGCCGTCAGCGAGTTGGGCGCCACGGGGCCCTTCTTGTCGTCAGCCATGAGCGCCGACGCGGGCTTCACCTTGAACTGGGGCACCTTGTTGATGGTGGTGTGCATGATGTGCTGCAACGTCGGCTGAGCACCAGGCAGCGTCGTGACGGGCATCACGTTGGGCTGCGTTAGGGACACGGCCACGGCCACGGGGGGGCCCTGTGGACCCTGGGGTCCCGCCCCGGGCCCTGCCCCCTGCGCCACCGCGTTCGTTGTCCCCGCGGGCCCTACGGGTCCAACGGGTCCCACGGGTCCTACGGCTCCCACAGCTCCAACGGGCCCCAAAGATCCAACGGGTCCGATGGGCCCCACAGGTCCAACGGGCGGGCCCTGGTTGGTGGGCGGCTGACTAGGCGCGCCTGGCGCCTGCACCAGCGGGTGGGCGCCGTGAGGCCCCACCAGCCCCTGCATCACCTGGGGCACATTCACGGTCCTGATGGCGTTGTTCACAACAGGGGTCACCAGCCCCTTGGACACGAACACTGTTGCGCCCTGCGGGGTCGGCGGCACTCCCGGCGCCACGACCTGCGGCGTAGGGGGTCCTCCTGGCTGCGTCCCGGGCGGGGCTCCCTGCACACCCGTCGTCGGCGTCTGCCCGTCCTCAGGCACGCCGAAGCGGAGCACGCCGGGCACACCGGCGACGGCCGCCACGCCAGGCTTTATGACCTTGTCCGGCGTGACGGGCGGCTGCAGCGGCGACGCCGCCAGCTGGGGCACCTCGGGCACAGCGGCCGGGGCGGGCGTCGCGGGCGCAGAGGGCGCCGCGACGGCGGGGGCGGGGCTGGCCTTGGGGGCCACCTCGGGCTCAGGTACACTGTTGTCCTCCTCCTTGACGGCCGCCGACGGCGAGGGTCGGGGGCTGGGTCGCGTTGGACTAGGGGGCTCCGCGTTGCTCTCGTCGTTCTCCGACAAGCTGGCCACGTCTTTGGTATCGTCGTCGTCGGCCGAGCCGTGCGCGTGCGACTGATGGTACTTGAGGCCGTTGATGTGCTTGTACTTCTTGCTGCAGTTAGGCTCGGGGCACTCGAGGAGGACGGGCGAGGGCGGCGGGCTGCCGCTGGCCGCGCTCGCGCCCCCTTTGCTCTTCTTGGCGGACGACGCCGAGCCGTTGCACTCCTCCTCGCCGGTGCGGCTGCTCTTGCGCTTGTTGTCGATCCGCGGCGGCGGGAACTGCGTCGGCGACCCCACCGTCTGGCCGTTGGGGCCGCGACGGCCCTTGGCGCCGCCGTTGCGCAGCTTGCTGTGCACCGACGACCGCGTCTCGGTGAAGTTGGACAGGTCGCTGCCGGGCGTGTTGGCCGCGCCGCGACCCCGCTTGCCGCGCCCCTTGGGCGTGCGCGCGTCCAGGTCGCTGGTCGGCGAGTCGCAGAACCTGCACGAGAGAAGGGCATTCATTAGCAACGTGGACAGAGAGCAGGCCCTCGGACTAGACAACTCTAAGACTAGATTATAGTTACCTCGGCGGAGCCCAGTCATGCCGCGTGCAGTCCAGCAGCGTGCCGACGTAAGTCTTCCCTCTCCATGTCACGTTCACAACCAGCACCCCTGCAACCAGACACGCGGGATTAGCCTCAACACACACACTCGCCGGCATCGCACTCGACTTACACTCGCCAACAACTATCGACAAAGTAGGATAGAAAATCGAAGGACAGAGCGAGTTACTTGGCTACACCACCACCACTACAGCGACAGTACGCTCCTCACCTCCTTCCGTCTCGTGCCACACGATGCCCTCCAGCGTCACGCTCGTGCCCGGCTCGCACGGTCCCAGGCAGTCCGGCTCCGTGATGGTGCCCACGCTCGTGCCCACGCACATGTCCACCAGCTCCTGCAGAACACACAAAACACACAACAGGGTGTAAAGCGAGGGGTAAAACAAGAAAAAGAGACAGACGATAAGGTGCGACTCAAATTTACCGCGCGGACACCGCAAAAGGCCCTGCGCCCCCGCACTCCCTCCCGCGCGTGGGTGAAGCGGAGGCGCCCAACCTCTAAACACATTGCGCTAATCGCCCCCCCCCCAACCCCCACGCCCCACGCTCGCGGTACTTGACGCTCAGCTTGATCAATCCACCCTCCCTAAGCCTCGCCACGCCGCGCTGCGCCACGCCCCCAGCTCGACCAGCAGCGCCCCCTGGCGGCCCGGCGGCTCCGCACCACCCCCGCCGCCCAGGTGCCCCCTCAGCGCCTTCCGGCCGCCCCCGCCCCCGCCCCCGGGCCGCAGGGCCCGCAGGGGGGCGCCACCGCCACCGCACCACCGCGCCCGCCGGCCTGTGAAATCCACCGCACCAACAAACAGCAGATTGCTGTGGGGGGAAACTCCCGCAGCTCAACATTCACCCGCCCAGCGCGGCGGCCTCCTACTCCGCCGCCGCCGCAAGGAGAAGTAGCAGCAACCGCGTGCCAGGCCAGGGAGGCGGGAGGGAATTTCGGCTTTGAAATCGATATCAACACCACCCGTCACATCGTCACTCGGCACAAACACGCTCAGCAGACGCCATCGCGAACGTTACACCGCAACCACCGCATTCGCTAACGCAAGATTTTCGGCGCACCAGAGGAAATACTATGGCGCGAGGGAAAACTGATTTCCAGGAGGCGTCCGTTGTCGTCGTCGTCGTCGTCTTGCTGCGAGCGAGGGCTGCGGAGCCGCGACCTGGGAAAGGTGAGCGGGGCGTAACAATCATCTATTAACAAGCAGAAGGGTTCCGTCCCTCGGCGGCGTCGGCGCGGGGTGGTGGGGGTGAGAGACGGGGAGAG